TTTGAGTCTGGAGGCCGAGGCCGATCTCACCCACCCACAGCCCACCCAAGCCCCCGTATTCTTTCAACCATCCATGGAGTCCTCAGTACGTACCAGACCCCAGCCCTGAGCCAGGAGGAGGAGAAGAATGGACATCCGTTACCCGGTATAGTACATGTGCGTCGTGTGTACTGTGGTCACTTGCATCATATCTGATGCCCTTCTTACAGTAACCAGAGAAACGAGATGGACGTTTCTACGTCACGTGTTAAGAGATTGGCAGCAGAACTCCGAAGGGTTAAGCGATTTACCCAAAGTAACCCAGAAGTAATGGTGAAGAGCCAGACGTCATCTCTCTCTGGAAGGTTCCGACGCTGGAGCCGTCCCAAAATGGCCTCCAGCGCCTCTGCGATCTTTTCTGACAGGTGTCCAAGAGTGGCGGCTTTAGTCCCTGTCATGGAAGCCGTGCATTTATAATAAGCCAGTGCGTTACACAGAGGAGGAATGGAGCAACCGGAAGCCAGGATGCTTGTCACTGCTCCGCCTGGAGCATTATGAGTCAGTGTGGGCCTGTTGGCTGTAAATACAGACTCCAGCAATTCTTTCAAGTAAATTGGTGGTGTTGTAGTAGACAATTTCTCTGCGAAATGCTAACAATGCAGTGGTGCTTAAATTTTATGTGTGCAAGATTATGACTAGATACATAAAATGGGAAGAAGAAAAATCTGCAACCAGCAAGAGCTGGGTATGCAATGATTCGTTTTTTTCTTTCCCGCACGGTTCTGGAATGGAAGAATTTCCTTGTGGAGAAAGTTAACAATAAAAGTGCTGACTGTAAGCGGGTACATGGCACTCATTTGGGGACCTTAAGAAGCTCTTTCTCCTTCTTTCTGGAGAAAAATCAAAGACCATCACTGAGAACATTGCAGCCTATTTAAAAACAGTGACAGCTCCTACCGAATGCACTGGTATTTTGGACGCAGAGGAGAAGGCTCTGCTTCCCTTCTATGTAGAGCTGATTCGGCCCCTGGAGCTCTCATCGTAGGATTTGTGTGGACAGAGCCCAGGACACGGGCTCAGCATCTGGAATCAGTGGAGGGGAAAGGGAAAAAAAGAGCTGAGCTGTGTGCATCCTCTCTCTCCTTCTGTCTCTCTCCCTTTCCTTTTGTTGTGCGATGGATCAATGAGAGGAACATCAAAGAGAAATACAAGACAAGGTGACAGAGGGAGGAGGATTAAGGGGAGGAAACAAACAAAGGAGAGATCCTGAGCCAGAGCTCAGAGAACAATGGGTGGAGGCAGAGAGGTCTAAGGAGAGAAGCAGACCCTACCTCCAATGAAGACATCAAACACACACACACACACACACACACACACACACACACACACACACACACACACACAAAAAGGTGTGTGCCCACATGTGTTCAGTGAGCGCAAAAGACAGAAGAGGCAGAGAGACAGAGACAGATATAGAGATATAGGCAGACAGAGGAAAAACAGACAGGGAGACAAAGAGACAGAAGTAATGGAGATGGATATAGAAGGAGATGAGGAAACAGCAATGAGAGAGAGAGAGGGAGAGAGAAAACGAAGAGAGAGCCCTTTTTAGTGACTGTAATTGTGATATTCAACTGGAGAAAAAGGAACAATGAACTTCTTCAGTATGGAACTTTTAAAGAACATTAGTTGAGTAGGAGCATGTTGGAACACCCACTGTGAGCCCACCTACGGGTCCCCAGAGGGTCAGGACATCTACAGGGGTGTCCCTGCCACAGCCCCAAATGGAACCACTGTCCTGACCAGCTGATCCCTGCTAGTCCTGGCCTGAGAGTCCCAAATGCTCCCAAAGGCGGACACCCCAGGAGTATGCAGTGATCTGAGTGTGATCTGCTGTTGCGATGTGTAGAGAGGTGCATCTCAGTGTACAGTCATCCCAACACCGTGGCCTTGACACAGCTCGTAAGCTTTCTTTGAACCAACATCCTGGTGGTCAAACTGTGATCTGTGTCCACACTTTGACCACTCAGTAGCCTGGGAAGACGCCAACAATGTAAGCAAGCATTTATTACCAGGATAGAAGAGTGTGGTGATTGTGTGCACATGAAAGTTTGCACTCCTTTTTTTTTCATAAGGGAGATGCTGCCTTGGAAGTTCTTATGTGCTCAGTGGTATAATTGGACATCATCACTGCTAACTAATGAGGTGTTTTCCACAGCCCTGTTGTACCAAGAGTGCTCAGCAAACACCTGCATACGTGTCTCTGTGTACAGCTCGTAGCATTTCTCCAGACAATAAGAGGTACATTTATGCACCAAACGGAGTGTCTGGTACCAGGTTAATTTCTGGGTTTCTTTGCCTAAGTCTTCTCACTATCTCTGGAAACAGCAGGAGCATTCAAAGCATTAAGAATTTTGCTAAATTCTTAGGCAAAATAGTGATAATAGGTGGGCCAGTGACCCTTCCCACCAGATGTTCATATCTTAACCCTGAGCACGTCAGGTTACGTGGCGAAGGGTGACTGTGGCTTTGGGAGAAATTAAGATTGCTCATCTGCTGACACTGAGGCGAGGAGAGTATCCCAGAGTAATCATTGGGATCCTTAAAAGTAGGCAGAGGAGAGACAGTGAGGGAGGGACAAGGCAGATGAAGTACTTGGCTTCGAGGAAGGAAGTATCAGCCAAGGGGTGAAGGCTACTTCTCAAAGCTGATCTCCAGATAAGAATGCAATGCTCTTGACATCTTGGTTTTAGCTCTGAGAGATCAATTCCTGATACACAAGTTATAGCATAATATGTTTGCGTGGTTTTAAGCCTCTAAGTTACAGCAGCAAGAAGAACCCAGCACAACCTCCTAGCCTCTCAGAGAGGAGGGAATCTGTTCTGAGCATGGACTCATGGAATTCCTAGAGTGGGAGGCCGGAGGAGGACAGCCCAGCGGTGTGCCTGCTAGTGACACCAGATCAGTATACTGTGCCAACACTTGCTGCAAACAAACTCACATTTTTCTTACCAGAGTCCACTCGTGTTTAGGGATTTTGAAGACACCTCCTCTCAGCCCAGAGATGCTACTTGTAGAAAGCCACGATGGACAGTCTGTTTCACAGTCCACTCATGAGACAAGGACTCGGCGGGGTGGGTTGCAGGTGGGGAATTCTTCTGGGACCACACCTACCTCACTGCCTGATCAGGAAGGGTCCTGGGTTCCTCGGCGAATGCAGTGACCTTGCGTACAAGGTCAGCCCGACCGTACCCTCATTTTCAAGTGCAATCCCAAATGCCTTGTCTTACCGGGAGTCCCTCAGGGGAATGAACAATAATGGTATTGGTTTACTCCTGACTGCTGCTTTGTGAAACTCCCATTTCATCTCACCTTGCCCTTCCTTGTCTTCCTGCCTTCCCCTCATCTCTGCACACCCAGACTCTCTTGCTCTTTTTCCAAATTAAAAGGGACTAGCAAATGCCTAGGCAGCCCTGACAAGCTCGCTCAGCATCAAACACTCTGGTCTGTCTGGGGCTGCTTCTGCCAGGGGCAATCAGCTCTGGAAGTTCAGAACAGTTGTATAACAGGAAGTTTCAGTCCTTGCCATCTGCGGGCTGGGGCACCGCCGATGAGAATAACATCAGGCGGCGTGTATCATCTTCGGAAAAAGAAAACACAATAAAGGTATTTCCATTTGTAGAAATAAAAAGAGATCAGGTCAGGGCTGAGGACTCGTGAAGCAGCTGAGTGAATCTAACAGGAAGTTTTTGTGTGGAAGTAATAGAGGGTCGAGGTGCAGAGCATCAGCTCTGGAATTGGGTCTGAATCCGAGTTCCATCACATTCACACTCTTCCACTCTGAGACTTGTTGTCCCCTTCTGTGAAAGGGGATATTCAGTCCCTGTATCATAGTTTTCAGGTAAGTGTGGATAAAAGAGACATCTACCCAGGCCAAGATTTTCAGTAAAAGAAGCTCCAGGTCTGTAACCTTGGATAAGTCACTTTGGTACCCCTGCCTCTGTTTCCATAAATGTAAACTGGAGTGTCATTTGTCCTTCCCTCATAGCGTTTTGTGATCTGCAAAGTCAATACAAGTGACACACTTAGGGCCTCATGTGCTCATTGATGTTAAAGATGATGACGAAGTTGCCATCAGACTTGTTGCAAATGATAGGAGCCATCTTGCCTAAACTCAGCTGAGGCAAAGGTGATGGTGGGTTTTGGGCTTGAGCTGTGGACAACTGTGGATAGGATGGGAACACAGAGAGGATTCTTTCTTTCCACCTTTCTGATCTACATCCAACAAACTCTTTTCTGTCTTTCTGGGAATGACTTACTTGCCCAAGTGACTAGATAAAAGTTAGATCTTTCTAGCTTCTCCCCCAAAAAGGATCCCTACTTCCAGCTTCAGACAGAAGAATCCTGGAGATGTGTGACTGGCTTTGGGTCCACCATACTCCTCTGCCTTGGACCAGTCATCATGGGTGCAATGTATCCTGTGGTGAGCTCAGCTGGAATCCCATGAGCCTTTGCGGTTCTATGATGAGCTCAGCTTCAGTCATGTGACCACTCTTGGGACTATATATACAGTTGGAACAAAGAAGTATTTTCCCAAAGAGAGGTAGACGGATAGAAGGAATAGATATGTTATAGTTAAAATAAAAAAAAAACAAAAACAAGGCTCAACACATTTTCTGGCACATAGATCCTCACCAAATCAACTTTCTTCACTAGTCATTTATTTTCCTTAGTTTTTTGAGCCAGAGTCTTGCTACATAGTTCAGGCTGGCCTTGAAATCACTACGTAGGCCAGGCTGGCCTTGAACTCATGGCAATCCTCTTGCCTCGGCCTCCCAAGTACTGGGATTATAGAGGTGCCCCACCCTGATAGGTTCAGGTTCAATCACACAACTCAAGGATTCTTACCAATAAAACAAAATCTCGCAATAGTAGTAGTGAGGATAGAGTAACATAGTTTAGGACCTAGCATACGGAAACATAGTAGGTGCTTCATGAATTCCTTTGTTCTTTTCCCATAGCCTGAGAAGCAAGAAGATAGCCACGGAAATGACTCAAGACTTCCTGAGGAGATCCACTAGAGAGCGGCTTTCCTCCATCTTCCCAGAAACTCCAAGGTACATGTAATTTGAGAAACACCACTCTCTTACCAGTTAATAATTAGGCTGTGATTGTTGTTTATTTGTGCACTGTACTGTAACTCCCTTTGCCCGAGGCTGGTGCTAGAGCTTGGAAAATACAATTTCCTCCAAACTAATTTAGTTTTAAGAGGAAAATGAAAGTTTAAAGTAGTTTAATGTTTTGGCAAAACCATAATGGCTGGGGAAGATTGGACTGTGTGAACCAATAAAGTGCCCTAATTCTGATAATAACTCAAAGCTTAACTCTTCCCCGCATCAGAACCGTCCGGATGCTGACCCTTGGCACAGGACAGCCCAGAGTCAGCGGATGGTTGGACAATCAGTCTTCTTTATTCATTTTGTTTTGTTTTTTAATGAGCAGTGCCACTTGTGACTTCAGTGGAGCCATAAGCCCAAGGCTGTAAATATCATTTATGTCGCTTGGTAGTTATGTCCCAGGAGACAGCCCCAGAAAGTATGCATTTCCTCTCACACATTTCCCTCAGACCCGTTGAGTCTCTGGAGAAGAGTTCCATCTTTGTGTAGAATAGGTGAGATTGTTATTGGAAAGACTGGAATTAAAACATTAGCTCTAAAATGCGATGCTTCTGGGAAGCCTCAGTTTGTCATCTACGAAATGGGAGAAGGAGAAGGACTTTGCTGGGCAATTGTAAGAATTACGGGCGTAATGAGCCGGGCATGATGGTGCACCTGTCGTCCCAGCTCTGTGGGAGGCTGCGCAGTTGGATCATGGGCTAGCTGGGCAATTTAGCAAGATGATCTCAAAATAAAAACTGCAAGAAAGGGCTGAGCATGAAAGCCCTGTGCTCAAACCCCAGTACTGCAAAAAAAAAAAAAAAAAAAAAAAAAAAAAAAAAAAAAAAAGAATGATATGGAGCATTTGGCCGTGAGACTGGGGGAAGGGAAAGGAGGGAGAAGTAGGGAGGAAAGGAGCAGGGGTGGCGGGAGGGGGGGACGGGATGGATGGGACTTAACACCTATTCATTTGCTACACTCGCATACGTACTGTGTCCCAGCGTTGGCATGGGGTCTAGGGATCCACAGGGCCAACTCAGAGACTTCTCATTCTCACTGGGGAGACCGAGGAGCAATCAGATATCTCCATCCCTCCACACTCTAGTGTTCTCATCTCTGCAGTGGGAGTAATATCAGAACTGGCCTCCTAGAGTTGTTGGAGATTTGGATAGGCAAAACGCTTGGAAGAATGGAGTCTCTGGCACATAGTGAGTGCTCAATAAATACTTGCTGGCTGTTCAGACTGGCGTGTCTAAATAACTTCAGGTTTACCAGGGTGGCGTAGACAACCCACACGTTTCATTTCATGGGGTCGGTGGAGTTCGGATTCAGAATACCCAGTTCCAGTGCTGCAGCACTGATTATGACTTTGAGGGCCCAGGACTCTATGTCTCTGAATTCTTCTGACCTTGCTCATGACCCCCCACCTCCCGAGGGAGGAGTGACAAAGGGAGCACGTCTGTGATCCTTAAACACTTGAGTGACTCTTGCTCTGCTACTCCTTTGTGCTGTGACTTTATCGTTTTACCCAATAAACCATGCCAATTCTGTTTAAAAAAATATGCGCAATGGGCATTCTAGTTCTTACTATGTAAGTTATTGTCAAGATTAAATGAAATGATTTCTTCTGCGTCTTCTCAAGTCCAAGCCACCAATGTTCCTGGTCAACTTCAGTGGTTCTGGTTCCTGTTTTTGCTGTATATTCTACTGTCTACACGGCCATACTACTAATGTAACTCAGATCCAGACTCTTTCCTCATCAGACATTTTCAGCGACTTCCCTTTGCTTTTAAATAAAATCCTCTCATCATTGGCTCTCCATTTCTCCCTGCACATTTCCTAACTTTTCTCCCTCAGTTTTGTGTGCCAGCTCCACGAACCTTTCTTGTGTCTCTCAACACGTTGTGACTTATTCCTCGCTCAGGGCATTGCTCCTGCATGGAAACTTTGTCCCCTAGATCTCTGCAAGACTGGCTGTAGTCTCAGTTCAAATGTCATCTCTTCACTTTAAATGTTACCTCCCATCTGACCAGGCTACCAGTGACTCCATTCCCTCCACATCTTCCTAGAGGTACTCAGTTTTATTCTCTCTCCATTGTGGGTGCCGTGAACATTCGCCTCTGGTTTACTGTGTCTCCTACTATCACCTGAGCTCCATTAGAACAGAAATTATGCCCAGAGTGTTCACTTCTGCATCCCCAATACGCATGAGAGTGCCTGGCAAATAGTGGCTGCATAACAAATATTTGTGGGATAAATAAAGGAAACAGTATATTGAAGGTGCTCAGTGGAAACGAAACGAAATGAAACAAAACTCCATAGTTATTTTCTTTGCTTTGATTTCCGAGGTTTAGTCTTACATAAAAATTTGAAGAGCTTCAGTGTTGGTTTAGGGAGTCACCTGGGCATTCTATTTGCTGAGCTTTCTATCAGGCCTGTGTGTCTTCTGAATAACTCTCTTCTGTCTTTCTACTCCCCTCAAACTCCTTGCTCCTTCGTGGCTTCCGATACCCATCTTGTTTCCTGAAGTTCTAAGTGCTTTAATACTTGTCTTCTATTGCGTTTTTTTTTTTTTTTAGAATACTCATACAGAGAACAACTGTAAGGAAAAGAGATGAGCTGCCAGTCTCGGAGGGAAATCACTGAGTTGGATGGCTTTGAATTGTTTGTTGTTTGCGTAATGGTGCTCCTTTGTCCACAGCTAATTGAGTTAGGGCACCTCAACTAAACAAACTTGCCTCCAGGCAGTAGAGCAGTTCTAGCACCTTTGTAAACAAAGCAGTGGGAAGGAAGAAGTGAAACCTGCGGAGTTCAGTTTAAAAATACACAGGGGAGAAGGGCCTGATGTCTGCACAGTTGTAATCCCAGCACTCGGGGCGGTTGAGGCAGGAGCATCAGAAGTTTTAGCCCTGTCATTGTAACTTGGTAATCTAACAATTTAGAGTCACTGTCTTGAGATAAAAACTTAAAAGGACTAGGGAAATTGCTCAGTGCAAAGACCCTGGTTTCAATCCCCAATACCATAAAGCAAAGCAAAGCAAAGCAAAGCAAAGCAAAACAAAACAAAACAGTTATTTAACTGTCTGGTCAGCTTGGGAGTTTCACACCTTTCAGAACAAAAGTAAAGTTCAAATGAACAAATTGTTTTTTTCCTTTAGGATTATTGCTGATTAGAATGGGTTGTGGAAATTATTTTATAGTCTCCCAATTATGTTTGGTCTGTGGCTGTTTTGGAAAGGCAATATGTAGCCAATAAAATCTTAGATTATGCTAGCTCAGTGGCCTCTGCCTGGGTTTATGTCTGACTAGGACCCTGATAGCTATAACTATTTAGAGAACTAGGTTTTCGTGCCTACCTGACTTTTGTAGCTTTGACCCTGGCCCTTGACCTGATGTATGCTGTGTTTCAGCCAACGCGCGAGCACTCGCGCGCGCACACACACACACACACACACACACACACCCCAAACTCCAGGAATTATATATATTTTTCATGTGTGTCTGAAGCATGTGCGATAATTTCTGTGTTAGGTGCATACCTTTCTTTCACCTAGAAAATTCCTATTCATTCTCTAAGGTCAGGCTCAGATTTCATCTGTTCTACAAAATTTTCCTTGATCTTCTGTGTATAGTTCCTTTCTCCCTACTCTCTTGGCAAAGGATTGTGTTCGTGCCTCTGTGATAAACTACACTTTTACACGTTTCACTGCAGTGTGGGCTGGATAGATCTCAATTTTCCCAGCCCAGACGTTTTGTACACATTCTTAATGAAGGGCTGACGTTGGCATGGGAAGCATACAACACAGATGCTTTACCTCTCCATTTCCTATTCACGGCAGACATCACCAATCAGCGGCTGAGGCTCAGAGTTTGTCTCAATCCGGAGTTTCGGCAGACACTCTCAATCAATCAGAGTTAATTTGTGAATGGAGATTTATTTGCCCAGTCTGAATCACAGGGCTTTTTAAATTGTGGTTTCCCAAAGTCTGTTTCTCAGATCACTTGCTTCAGGGACTTTGTGAATCTCTGGAGGTGGTGCCTAATAGACTGATTTTGAAAATAGGAACTTCAGGCGATTTGAGGGCATGCTCAAAACTGGGGCAGACTAATCCAGCTGTCACTGTCTTGAGTTACTGAAATGAGTAAAAGCTGTGTAATGTAGTGTTGCATGCATTTTGAAAAAAATATTACAGAAAGGGAAGGAGGAGGAGGAGGAGGGTTCTGGCACCATCCCTACTTCCCCTTATCCATGAACTCCTCAACTGGACAGCAGTAATATTCCAGGCCACACTCAAAACTCGGCCCTGAGCATTCCTTCATTTTCTTCCTCCTTAAAAACATAAAGAAATCATACCAAATTGCACTCATCTCTTTCAACAGTGATAATTGTAAAATTTAAAGCATCAGACTTCCTTCAATCTCCTCACTTTTGTCTATCCAGAGCCACTGCCGACGTCTGTTAGAATTGAGCCAAGAAGAAAGATGGCTTTGGATGGCAGCCAAAAGCAGAAAAATGCTGCAGCCAACGCACAGCTGTATTCCACTTGGGGAAAGCTGCTTCTGTTGGGGACTGGACACACTCAGGACTCTACCTGCGCAAGGTTTCTGTCTTTCAGTAGAGTTTATTTGCCCAGAGTCTGAACTTCGGTCCCCGGATTCCCACACCCGATGCTTCCTCTCTCTGCTCACTTGGCTGCAGCACAGTTTTGCTTCCTGTCCAGCTTCTGCTTCATCTCCTGCTCTCACCTGATCCTCTAATTCTCATTTAGCCCAATTATCTTTGACCAATCAAAAAGTTCTCCAGATGGGACTTGAGGAAGAAGTTTGAGAGTGAATGATGGGTTGGCAAGAGCTTCAGGTAGGCAGTGTTGTGGTCAGGTAAGGGAAAGGCTGAAGGGGATCAAAGGGAAACAAAATCCTCCTTTCTTAGTCTTTATTTATTTTTTTGAGTGCAGCAGGGCAACTGGTCTACCTGACTAGATATCTTCGCACAAGACAAGCAGGAAGAGAACTGACATTTGTTAAGTAATGTTTGGGTTAGTTTAAAACCATCATATTACTATTGATTTACTCCTTATAGCCATAGTATCAGTCATCTCTATTTTACTTTTATTGCTGAGAAAATTGGGGGTCAGGATATTTTATTCTTCCTTTTTCATTTCTTCAAAAAGAACATTTCTTGAATGTCTAGGGGGAGCTAGTCTCTGTGTTAGCCACTGGGAACAGAGCAGTGCACCAGAAATACATTTTCTGTGGCTTCATGATACTTAAAATCTGGCACTAGTAAAAGACATTGGTTAAATAACCACAGAATAAAAGTAAAAATAAAGGCTGTAAAAAGTCCTGCCACGGAAAGGCACTCACTGGTCATGTGAAACATAATTTGCCAAATCTGAGGGAACTTCTTTGAGGATGTGAAATCTGGCTGAGTAGGAAGTAACTAGAGAAAACTGGGAAGATTAGTTCAGACAGAGGGACCTGTGCATATGTAGCCCCTATAGAAGAAGGAAAGAATATAGTATATTAAACAAATAGAAACAAAACAAAAACACTTAAGCCAGTTAGCTAGAGTATGATGAGAGATGAGGCAATTAGATCAAGATGGCTCAGGGGACATTTGTAAGATTCAGGCCACGCAGATCCTGGTAGGTCATTATTCTGCTCATCATTGTGACAAATGACTCCGTAAGGTATTGGCAGAATTTCAATCGCTTGTTCTCGCTTACGGCTTTGGAGTTGACTTGGCTCAGCTGTGTGGTTCTCATTTGGCTTTTCTGTGTGGCTGAAGAACATGTCATGTTCTGTTAGGGCATGGGTGAGGTTGATATCATCTGAGGGCCTATTTGTACTTCTGGTACTTGGGTCTGTGAAACTCAAGCAGTTGGGAGATGAATGGCTGCGTCTCTTGGGTGTTTCTCTTTCTCTGTGTGACTCCAAGATAGCCAGGCCTCTTACTGGGCAGCTTGGGGCTCTACAGATGCATGTGTACTAGTGTGAGGCTGTGGCACCTTTTGTGAGTGAGCTGCAGAAGTCATGAAATGTTAGCTTGTCGCATTCTATTCATTGTTCAGTCATGGAGCCCAGCCTCAGTTCAAGCAAAGGGGCACAGGGATCAACTTTTGTTGAATGGTGCTCATGGCAAGGCTTTACTACAATAGTAGAGGAAGCCTGAAACATTGTTGCAGATATTTTGGTAACATATAATCTTAAAAGTCCACCTTCTGGTCATTATCATTCATAACATTCCCACTGGCAAATTACACTCACATCCTCCTCCAAGACTCTTCTGTATCACATAATTTTGTGTTACCAGCCTCAGCCCCGAGGTCCAGGATTTTGTCATTGAAGTCACGTTCTGGTGAAAATCAAGCTTCCTAAAAAGAAAAATTATTTGCCCAACCAACACCTAACATATCATGGTGGAACAAGTATGGGGATATCATTACAGATATTCCCACTCAGAAAGTAGGGAAAGAGGGGTCACACTGTGTTCACAAGTACATAGAAAATGTAAAACATCACGTCCATGTTATTAATAGTATTTCGTCCCATTTCCTGGGAGTGATTCTCTATAGCAGGGAATCTTGGTTCCACCTTGCGAATCCGGCTTCCTTCTCTGTAAAACAGCTGGTGTTTGCAACTGAATAGGTTTTATTCAATCTGACTCCAATCTGTAGTATCTTTTTGAGGAGCTCTTTTTGTTCCCCTTTGTTCCAGGCTGGTAGTTTTTGTCTGGATGATTTTCTTAAAAACTTCGACAATTTCCTGTGTGCCTTATTTAGCCTCACTCAATCAGCTACCTTCAAGTTCTGTTGATAAAAGTGATTCTGTATCTAGGGCTTTATGTCAGCCTGCTGTGAATCATGTCGATTATTATAAGTTTAATGATGTCAGTGAAGAGTGTCTGCGAGGCATGCCTGTAAGGTTCTAGAGACCTTCAGCTTGTTGAAAGGTTCTATGAAGAATCACTTTAAATCTTTCAGAGTACTCAAGATCTTAGTTCCAATCTGAAGTTCATTTTGGTCTTAAATTCATTGCTTAGTTTAAGAATTTTTTTTTCTTGTGTGGGAAGGTTAGAAATGAGAAAAAATTATTTTAAACATGCAAGTCAAGGATCCTTTACATTTAAAACAATTTTTGATAGAAAACCACACAATCCTTTTGACATATTTCTCTACCACACTGCTGGAAGACAGAAATCAGTATCAACATTCTGCCTGGAACTCTACACTCTTTATCTGAATCGCTCAGTTCCTATGTACATTTTTTCTTTTACACTCCCCTTTGGTGACTGTACATGCTGAACTTTATCATTGCATAACAGGGGTTATAACTTCTTCCCAACGTTGCCAAATCCTCACCAGCAGCTTCTTGAAGCTGTACTAACTGATGCCTCTAAGCCCTTGTAACTTGCACACACCAGTGTTCCAAAGGGATGGCTGCATTGTGGATTTTGCTAGGGCAGTATCCCACTTCTAAGAGCAAAATCTGTTGTAGTTCTCTATTACTGTATAACAAAACATCTCAAAGCAGTGGCTTAAAACAATAATAACAGTGCCAGTGCCTTTCACAGTTCTGGGGTTGATCAAGGCTCAGCTGGGTGGTTCTTATTCTGAGTCCTACCCATGGTGGTGGCCATGGTGTGGTTGGAGTTGGAAACATCACTGGACTCATCAGTCACTGTTCTGCATCGGGTCTGGAAAGGCTCAGTTCAGGGCAGAAAGAGAAGGGGCTCCTCTAGCAACAACATACACATGATCTTGATCTCTTTTTGTGTTCTCTCCAGCATGGCAGCTTCAAGGTAACTAGGCTTCTTAGAAGATAGTTCAGGGATCCAAATGCATGTGTCCCGAGAGAGAAAATTGAGCCAAAGTCTTAATGCCCTTTACACCCAACTTTGAAGTCATGAGCCATTATTTCTGCCACGTTCCTCTCATCGAGGTAATTACAAAGCTCTTTCCAGCCCAAGGGAAAGAGATGTGCATGTGTTGATGAGGGAATGTTAGGGTTTTGGATGCTCATATGGGATCTCCAAATTATTGTTACTTTTAGCCCTTGCACTTTAGAGAAGAGTTTTGGGAAATACGATTTTCCTCAGGCATACTAAGAAATTTAGTCCTTATTCTATGATCAAGGGGACATTGTGGTACAGGTTTAACATGAATACATATGCATTTTGGAAAGGTCAGTCTGGCTGCAGAATAAAGGATTGGAGAGAGGACAAGAATACAAGTGGAGTGGACATTGTGGTACAGGTTTAACATGAATACATATGCATTTTGGAAAGGTCAGTCTGGCTGCAAATAAAGGATTGGAGAGAGGACAAGAATACAAGTGGAGCGACAGTCAGAAGACTCTTACTCCTCTGTATGTATCCAAGAGAACTGAAAACATGTCCCCACAGAAATTTATCCTCGAATATTCATAGCAGCATTACTTACAATAGCCAAAAGATAGAAACAACTCCAATGACCATACCATTAATCAATGAAAAGGTAGTCGGTATATATGATGGAACACTATTCACCTATTAAAGGAATTGTGTACGAATACATGCCACAACATGCAAAAACCCTGATACATTATGCTAAGTGAAAGAAGCCAGATGCGCAATGTCACATGTTACATGATTTCACTTTTCAGACCCGTCTATATTAGTTGAAACCATGGAGATAGAAAGGATATTAGTACACATTGCCAGGAACTGAAGAGAGGGGAATGGACAGTGCCTGACAAGGATGTGGGATTTCTTTTTGGGATGATGCAAACGTTCTGGAATTAGTGGTAACTGTACAACTTGGTAAATATATCAAAACCTTGAGTCACAAACTTCGAAAGGGCAAATTTTATGATATGTGAATTACATCTGAACAATTTAAAGAAGTAAATATGATCATATCCCATGGCCCAAGAAGCTGGGGTCTGCGGCAGGGATGTAACGTACCAAAATCACAACTTCTGGGAGAACTCTTGACCCTGTTGCTTAGGCACTCAGGCTCTCCCCTGCTTGTGTTCCAGGCTCCCACTGGTCTTTCCTTATGGAAGTTTCTCCTCTCAATTAATCGCATCCTACCCAAATCCTTCTATCCCATCAAGGCAGAATGCCAGCTACCAATGGGGGAGTCTAATGTTCCCTCTTCCTTCTTCCAAAATACATATGTGTATATGTGTGCATATGGACAGCATTGTTGCCTAATATCCTATACTGTAAACACATGACCTTACTGAACTGTGAATACCTCAAGGGCAGACTGTTCACTAAGTAACTGTTGAGGGTGACATAAAACCAGTTTAACTCTCAGTTTGGAGCCTGGATTACTTCCAGATGTGGCTGCCTCTGAGCCTCATTTCTTTCTCTTGTTTGGCTCCAAGACTCAGGTCTTGCTGCAGATTTACCCGCAGTACTCACAGGTTCTACTCCAGGGACGAGGCAGTTCAACCCGCTCTCCTGATGGATTCAGCTGAGCTCTAGGATTTCGCATTGCAAGGGCCTTCCTCAAACCATATTCATGGGCGGAAGGATGATCTCAGGTGCTCGTCCAAAACCGTGTCCCTGGCACCAAGTGGAGTTTGGTTTAAACCCAGAGACCATGGCTCAGGAATAGGAAAATGAATGATTTTTTAGAAGGAAATTGAAGTGGTATTGCCCAAAGCAGGGGAGATGGTTGCTGAATGGTAAAAAATTAACAAGCACCCACTCTGGTTTGTTAGCACTTAGAGTGGTGTAGGGCATTTAGCAGAGATTTATTGAGCTAAATTGAATCCCGAAGTACAAATACCAGCCCCTGAATCACAACCTGTAGGAAGGAATAAAATACTTTGAAAGTTAGGATGAATAGGGAAGATGTCTGAGTTTAGTTTATATCTAAAAATGTATGGCTGGGCATAGTGACACAATCCTGGAGCCCTTGGGAGGCCGAGGCAAGAGGTTGGCAAGTTTGAATCCAGCCTGGATAACTTAGTGAGTCAGATCCTGTCTCAAAGTAAAAAACAAAAAAAGGCTGGAAATATAGCTTAGTGCGAAGTTCCTGGTTGATATCCCCCATACTGGGTGTGTTTGTTTATGTGTAGGGGATAACCAAGGTTTGCTGATTGTCATTTTGGACATTTCTTTATACCAATAAAAGTGTTCCAGCTATTCTACAAGTTCAAAATAGGAGCTCTTCACCTCTTTCCTTAGTGACATCATGGTGGCTACCCTTACAGTCAAATGAAAGGTTTAGATTCTCTGTAGAAAGTTTTGCATTATACTAATAACTTACACCGAATTTTGGGAGTTCCTGGAACCCCAGGATTTGCAACTTGAGAAATTTTGTTAGGAAGACTTAAGCTTGGTATTGGATTTTTAAATGTATATTTCATGCTCCTTCATTGTTTTCAAAAATTTCCTCTTGGAACTACCCGGACTCAGGACTAGAGGGCATTGTGTACCTTGAAACCACATCAGACACAGTGCAGCGCTCCTTGGATTTTCACACAAAAAGGCTTGTTCACTGCTCAGTTAACAAGTGAGCCCTTTCTACTCCCAGGAGGGAAGGAACTCAGCCCCCTGTGAAGAAAAGCAAGGGGAAGAGGGAGAAGAATGGCCTAAATGTTTCCCTCATTT